TCTTTACTTGCTTGTTTGCCTCTGTGTATTCAGCTTGTGCTTTGGCTTTTTCTGCTCTTGTTCGACTGGTATTGATTGCTGCTTTCTTGTTCCTTCTTTCTTGAATCTTATCCAGTGTATCAACAGTGATCCATTCCTTGTGATGGTGCTTCTTGTGGCACAGGACCTCATGGCATGTTGAGGTGATTGCCTCTTTGATCCCCTTCCAGTTGCTCTCCACAGTAGTTCCTTCTCCGTTGAGTAGATCTTGAAAGGCCTGGAACTTATTGCTGAGGACTATCTCGAATTTGTTGAGTTTGTCAGTATCCTGAAGAAAGGCCGTATTGAAATTTTGTGATGTTGTCCGCCCCGTTGTCTAGTGCTTCTTGAGTTTCAATTTCATCTTGGCGACCAGCGAGTGATGATATGAGGCTATATCAGCTCCTCTCTTGGTTCTCACGTCCTCTATAGTCCTCCTGAACTTTTTACTGATGTAGATATGGTCGATTTGGTTTTGCGTGGTATGATACGGTGAAGTCCATGTGGTTTTGTGAATGCGTTTATTTGGGAATATGGTGCCGCCTATGACCAGTTTATTGAAGGCACATAGGTTTGCAAATTTCTCCCCATTTTCGTTCCGTGTCCGTGTCTTCCCATGATGTCTTCATATCTAGTGCTGTCCATTCCAACCTTGGCATTGAAATCTCCCAACAGAATGGTCAGGTCCTTTGTTGGGCACTTCTCGATGATTGACTGCAGCCTATCGTAGACTTGGTCTTTGGCGTCCTCATTGTAGTCGTTGATAGGCGCATAGCATTGGACGACGTTCATTGAAATACCCTCTTTCTTTGTTTCGAAGGAGGCTTTGATGATCCTTGGTCCATGAGATTTCCATCCTGTAAATGCATTTTGTGCTTGTTTGGGCAGCATCAATGCAACTCCTTGTGTATGTGGGGCATTTTCTTTTTCATGGTCGGAGTATAACAGAAGCTCTCTTGAAATTATTCGTTGTTGTCCAACTTGCGTCCAATTTGTTTCACTGATCCGAAGCACCTCTAGGTTGTATCTCTTCATTTCTGCAGCAATTTGGAAGGCTTTCCCGGTGTCCCACATTGTACGAACATTCCATGTACCTAAATAAATGGTTGCTCTGACTGTCAGAAGGGGCATCGGCCTCGTGAATTCCGGAGCTCGGCTTTCATCATGAGGCGTCATAGTTCTTCTAAATGAAGACCTTCTAATTCCCAGGGCAGAGTTTATTTGGTTTGAATAATTTTTTTGGTTAGCGTTTTTTAGCGAGTTAGTTCTCTACGGGATGGGAACGCTAACCTTATGCCCAACCCTCCTCCTTTATCTGGGCTTGAGACCGGCAGTAGCCCCCGTAGGGACTCCAGGCGGAGTTAAAAACACTTAATCTACTTTTTATTAATATGAGAACATTAAGGAATTAGTGGTAGTAATTAGAATGCCAATACATTAATTCATTCATTTAGATGTAATTCATTCAGTTCCTAATAGTTCATGCACCCAACGTTTTACCAAGCATATAGTGCTACTGATGCATCCCTAGGTACCTAGGTTTAAGTAGATGAGGAAAGATTTGAACTTTTGATTTAATGGTCGAATGCCGAATGTTTAAACCGGTATAGCATCACCAGTAGATAAATCATATTTAAATACCTTAAGGTAACAGTTTTATTTTTTACTACACCTAAGTGCAATTGTAACAGTTTTGTGAAGCTGGTCAGAATTCTCCCAAGTAATAATTGCATATGGTAACCATCTTTTATGCACGTTTATGGCATCGTTCACATCGCTTCAAATGATTGGAATGTTAATCAGAATATTTTATATAACTCTCATTTATTCCTAAATATGATTTACGTGGCGAATAACAAAATGCTTTTTGTTTAAATGATGGACAAGCCTAGTCATTATAAAAAAATTAGGAATATTTTTAAGTGCAGCGAGGGGTTTATCTCAGTATGTGAAACTTCAATAGTACAGACGACTAAATAATATCATTACTATCTTCATTTAGGTTGTAAATGAAATTTCTGTACAATAAAGAATATCTGATAATGCATAATAGTACAACCAACATTTGAAGTACGAACCATACTTAAAGCATTCGGATAGTATGGAGATTGACAAGTATGAAATTGAATAGTTCATATGGTAGGTAGCTAACTGAATTGTTTTATATTGCACTACATGCAATATGAAATTACTTAGGCCTAGAAAATATTATTACTGAGTTAAAAGTTATTTCAAACAAACTGTTATTTTTTACATTTCTTTAATTTATTTTGATTGTTAGAGTTGAATATAAAAAATATATACATATATCCTATGCTTTAGCATTCAGTTAGAAAACTTATTTATTTGTGTTTTTAATATACACACTAGTTGTTTCTGTCATAAAGTTACTCTTTGTTTAGCCATAAAACTCACCCCTTCATTAAATAAATACGGAAAAGTAATAAAAGCCCTGATATTTCCGGACACATGAGAAAACCGCCATCAAAATAGAAAACTTTTGATTGCTAACTTAATTACAGGTCTATACATTAGAGGTATTTATCAAGGAAAGTTTATTCATTAATGTATTTGTTAACTAAGAATTAAACGGATAATTTTCCATAGTAAGTGGAAGGCTAAATATAATCATAGTCTTCTACTTGCTGTGAACTATTCTCTTGTATTTTTGAATTTCGAGATTAAGGAAATATCAGTACTGAGATTTGAAAAACAGATGTCCAACTCATGGCCCAGGTTACAGCTTCTCACTGAAACTTTGGAAGTTCCACTTGCACTAGCGCTTGATTATTAACCCAAGTTTGTGAAGACTGTTCAGTTTATAAAAGACAGCTCTCTGGTTTTTGATAATTATGTAAGGTCAGACGCATATACAAACCACAGCTTGGAAAGTATCCACGAGCTCCCTATGTTAAGATACTTTAATTTGATGAGGGAAACTACATAAATGAGATTTAAGGTAACCCATTGTCATTGGATAAAAATAAAGAGAATTCAGAAATTATTCTTTTCGACGAAATCATTAACTTAAGCTGATAATTATCGCGCATAATCTTGACCCGTGAATTATTTTCATCCTACTACTCTTATCTAACCCTTGATTATTACGTAACTTCATTTGACAATTGGAGTCTCGAACAACTTTATGGTGCGATCTTCTCTGCCCTTTTATAGACATATTTAACAGAATGAGTTTTGTGGAGATTTTAGAAATTTCACTGCTTGAAATTGAGTCATACAACTATGAATACACATGTACAGCATAAATGATTTCGTAGAATCCTCCTTATTTCTATTAAATTTTATCCAAGATGTTGGGCGATATACTGAGGTTTCCCGACTCCGACATGTAAATTATGCGATAGACTGGATGTAGTTGTTCTTCAGTTGATGTAGTAAATAGTCAGTATGTTATGAGTTTTGTTTGTTCTTCCTGATATGTGAGTTCCTCATCCGATATTTCGATACCCTATCTAGCTGCTTTTGTAGTGAATGACCACTTAAGTGGGGGAGATCAATTTATTGTTTAATGGACATTCACACAGTGGTTTAGTAAAATGTGAAAATCATACACCAAAAACATCATCCGTACACCTTTAGTTCTCCTTTACATCCTTCATAATTCTTCCAATTGCTTTGTACCGATTCCTTTATTCGGTTCAATCTTCTTTTAACAAACATTTTACTTCTGGTGTTACATACTACTTATGTTTGTCAACATAAGTAGCGTGCACCACACTTTCACTACGCTATTGTTATTTCAGTTTATATCTGATGAATAAATATGTTCATATGTGGGATCGTTTAATTTTAGTGTAGCTTTTAAGGTATACCATCTTCTTAATTGTTACATGCAGGGCAGATACACATAATGAATATCTCTATTTGTAAGGTTTACATAGTTAATAGTTACAATTACGTACTTTCTTGACGAAAATCAGATAATGCAACAGCTCTTAAAGCTACACAATAAGCAATTAGACTACTTCTAGTAGTATAACTGATTGGAACTAATTTTTATCATGACTGATTCATCAGACAGATGATGCACTGAATTAATTAAGACAATCAGTCCGTCAATACGAAACCATTCCCTTAACGTCAAGATTACTCTATGCTTACATCACAAGCAAACAATGATTTTAATGCGTTTAAAACTCAATTATACAATGCCTTCTACTTTCATTTACAGTCAATGAATTACTAAGTAATAGTCGATGTCATATATATCAGGTTTTTTCAATGCTGATCGAATTCTACCTATCAAGTTATAATCTAGCCACCAGTCTATGTAACTCGATATCGCGTACAACATGTTGAGATTTAAAACAGATATAGTCAACAGAGATTCCTATAAACTACCTCTAGCCAACCTGTAATCGTAATACATATACATACAAATAAGAAACTCCAAATGAAGAGTGAAAATCGCAAATCAGAGAAAATACCTGTTGGTAGGAATATATGTAAAGCTGAACAGAATACCATCGAATAAAATTGGTCGAATTCGACAGTAAGTAACTTACTGTCAAATGATAGTGTTCATCCGTAATCAAGTTATGGACGCTTAAAATTCACCACTAATACATCACACTTACTAACTACATATATGTGTAATAGACTTTAAACTACACCTTATGTATGAGGGTTAGTAATATCACCAGGTTGCAAAAACTGAATTAAACAGATAAACAGTTAAAGTTCTAACTAAATCGTTAGAACCTGAATTTTCTAATCTCCAAACTATTACTTGATACTAATTGGTTAGAAATTTCATCTCTTAAATGTTTCATTATTATTAATTATATATCTAAACAACACGAAAATGTGAGAAATGTTCATTTTTAACAGAAATTTTTTTTACAAAGCATGCTAAAATGAAAAATCTTTTTTTTTCTTCTGTCTTAACAACAACCAGATAGTTAGATATAAAATTCTCTATTTGTTATCCAGATAAAACAAAAAAAATTATTTTATTTTTTGAAAAATATGTATTTAATTCTGTAACTACTCTCTTTCTCTCTCCTGTATATATATACATACAATTAATAATATAAAACTTTTATGAAGGAAAGAAAATAGATTACAAATTATGACGGATATGATCAAGAAAATAGGTCATCCATAATATGTGTGATGGTAAGCAACTAGACATAAACAACAACAACAAGAATAATAATAACGGAAAAGTTCAATCTGTGTCATCCATCTAAAATAAAGAAAAAAACGTAGTATAATGTATGTTCAATTAAACAACTTATTAACAAGTTAAAACATGCTAATGTACACTTTATTAAATTTTAAATACTTTTTTTTCAGTTGAAGAGAAAAGATTATAATCCACAACAATCTATTTATGAGCATTATTGTGGTACGATATATGTAATTTTCACAGATTTAAATCATGAGTCAGTTGAAGCTAGACCACCATTGAAAACCTGGAAGCTCAGTGGTTTAATGGTTAAGTGCTCGCGCGCGAAGCCAGTAGGTCCTGGGTTCGAGCCCCGCGTGGTGCGGGATCGTGGATGCGCACTGCTGAGGAGTCCCATACTAGGACGAAACGGCCGTCCAGTGCTTCCAGGTTTTCAATGGTGGTCTAGCTTTAACTGACTCATGATTTAAATCTGTGAAAATTTCTAAAATCTCCACAAACCCCTTCTGATATGTAATTTTGTCAATTAACGTTTAAATGATAATTGATATTTATAATTTATTCATTGGTTGTAATGTAACAAGCTGACTATTGTAGAATGAATAGTTAATTTATTGAAATGAATTTCTCGACACTTTACTCGGATAGTGATATTAATTTGGGAAATTAAGTATATAAGTAAATCATTATAGTTGATGATGACAAATAACTATGTGCTTGTGAGTTAAAAATATTGAGGAACTAACTCTATAGTTGGTGTATAAAAATGATGCCCGTATATTCATTCGGATCTGTTTGGTTATAAGATATTATCAATTTATACGTTATATGGAATAAATAACGCACTAGAAAACTTCTTGCTAAGAAAAGTCAAGAAGTATAGAATGTTCAAATCTTCACTATTTGTCAACTTTAATAATAATAATACATTACTAAATGTTGTGGACATTTGCAATAGTTACTCACTGAGTAATAACCAATGTCATGGTATTTAGTCCATAGTGATGAAAGAATACTAAAGATTAAGTTGTGATATGGACATTACGGAAAATAGATTAACATTGGAGTAAACTTCGTTTCGATGTTACGCGGTTGGATTTAACCACCAGAAAGTCCTTGACCTAAGTTGTTTGTTGGTTAGAATCCACAAGTAAAGCAACAACGATAGAAAGTCCATTTTTCTTTCAAGATTTAAAACCAAGAAGTTTGTCAATGTCTGAAAAGTTCAAATGACAAGCAGCATGAAAATGGATAACACTTACCAAATGCTCAACTTTGAGAACACAATTGGGAGATACAGGCTGATTATTTTTTGTTTCAACAAAATGAGGTATTGTAATATCTTCCAAGTTCAAAAACTCACGACTTTCTGAATGAGTAACACCAATTTCCGGGATATCGTCATTGCACAAAAGACCGAAACCTATGCATGTGGAGAGGATATATTATAAAGAATGATAGAATCTAATATATTACAAGTTAATCGATATATCTTTTTAAGTATTCCGTCTACCTTCTGGAGATGAGATATATAAATCTATTACTTACGCCTGTTACCCCTAGTGGAGGAGTATAAACCGCCCACCGGCATCCTCGATTGAACTCTGTACTAGACAATTCGTTCCAGTTGCTATTCATCCTTTTGATATCTGCTTCCGATTCTTGGTACAATGTTTTCCTTGGTAATCCTTTTTTCCTTTTCCCTTTAGAATTCCAAGTTAGTGCTTGCCTCGTGATGCAGTTTGATGATTTCTGCAATGTATGTCTTATCCACTTCCATCGTCTTTTCCTAATTTTCTCTTCATCTGGAAGCTGGTTTGCTGTCTTCCGTAGTAGGCTGCTGTTAATGGTATCCGACAAACGTTGTGTATCTTATGTAGAAAATTGTTTGCAAATACTTCTACTTTTTTATGATGATTGTGATAGTTTTCCAAGTTTCAGCTCCGAACAGTAGTACTGTCTTGACGTTTGTATTAAAGATTCTGACTTTGATATTGGCTGACGGTTGTTTTGAGTTCCATATATTCTTCAACTGTATGAATGAGGCCCTTGCAGATAAGTCTATAGTCGTTAATAAAAAAATCAGCTCATTTTTTACTTGATTTAAGAGCTGATGATGTTATTTAGAACAACAATAAAAATCTCTGCTGGCTCAGAAAATGCAATACAAATCTTCCCCATCATTTTATAACAAGTTGTTTCTTGTGGTCACATGTATACAAATGCATACTGGCCTTTTTACCCTGTTTATATACAGTTTTCACCTCAAATACGAAAAAAAAATAAATTGGTATAGACAATATACATTTAAATACCTTGTGTAATTGTTTCCAGCCAAAACGACAACTTGCTATCATTAGAAGCACGTTGAGATGAGACATTACTTCCGAGAAGATTACGATTGATAAGATCCTGGCGCCAGCTACGAATAAATGAGTTATATGCTCGAGCAATTTCAAGATGACATGTGCTGCTGTTGCATGTAGCATCATTAATATGATTGTTTTCATTACTACTATTGACGATTTCTCTACTTGGTTGAGCATGCTTACGATAAGCGAACAGGTAAGCGATAGCTTTTGGACGCAATAAAGTTGCAGTGAAAGGATCAGTTACCAGTTGAATTATTTCTTTCTCCAAAAGTCTACAAGCTAAATCATGCAAAGTGAGTAGTTTAATAAATTCAAGTACTAGAATAAACCTTAGTTCTACAACACAACTGGTAATAGAAACACACTATAGACTTTCATAGAAAATACCAAACAAACATTGGTGATGTGACATTAGGTCTCCTGACGTACTAAGCCGAACTTATGTAAATTTTTTTCTTATGTTCATGAAGTAGATGTCTCTAGTTAGCTTTTTACTTAAGTATTAAAAAATAAATAAATACAGTTTATTATTCTTTCTAACCAGATTTTTTTTAAACTGAAAAGTACTTAGATCGGAAGATAAAAATTATGATGAAGCTAACAATTTTTGTAGATTGGAAATTTATTCTACGTTTAATAAATTAAGACTTTATTTATTATTGTTATACTAAGACTATTCTGTAAAAACTATGCGAAAGGATGGTTACTTATAAAATCCAAGTTATTTCTGTTACAAAATAGAAAATTGAAAAACAATACACCGTAGACTATCTCAAACTGCTGCCAAAATTTCAGGATCATAGTAGGCACCATAAAGTAAATAACATGGGTGATGGGTTCATTTTTACACGCTTTGGGTCCCCACTAGAATTCATTGACGATTGCATAACAGAAACCTGAAGCATTGCTTTGACTTCTGTTGTGATCAATCCAAGTCCTGTCGATTGACAAACTATCAACGTTTTTCCTAGAGAACAGAGCTTCGTTTATATTGTTTTTCTTCCTCCTCTACATTTGACGATAAGTGATCACAATGAAGTTACATGAGTTCGTTTCGAGGCTGCAATGCTTACAATGCAGGAAGGCTCATCATGTTTATAACTGTTGTTTTACACGGTCTACTATCATTGTTCGCTCAGATAACATCACATAGATGCAATCGCTTAGACTTGAGTACAGATGAGGAAACACAGTGACAGGATACAGCAGGACTGCTAACAACAGGTTAGTTATATATATATATAGCGCAACCAGGCACATGTAGCAGTAACACGGCCCCTAGCAGACTCTCGACGACTTATTTGCCTTTCGTACTAGGATCTATTCTAAAAACCACCACATATGATGGGCTTGTAAATTATTACAGAAAGTATTTAAGAAAGATCGCACTTAACAGATAGAGTCGAGTAACATCACGCCGTGAATAATGTTCTGAAATAATTCTTAGCATCAACATCATCATTGTTAAACAACCTAGTATATACTGCAGTAAAATGTCATAGGATCGATTAGTAGTAGTAAGTTTAAGATCATGGCTAATCGACTAGAACTTGTAGTTCGTGCATAATGAGGAACAGCTTCATTTCGGAATAGAAAGTTCTTATATTTTATTTATTCGTTGGTAAAATCCTTGCCAACTTAATTTACAGTAAAAATTATGTGGTATGTCAGTAGTTTTTCTTCTAATCCAAAGAATTTTTCTTTAAACAACGTACTAACAAAAAGAACGAAAACTGGACAGTTAGGATATAAGTAGAAACAAAAGCCCATTGTAGCTGTCTCATCAATGAACCCATATACGATACGACAACAAAAAGGCATAAGAAATGATGAAAAACGAAAAGTGGACATTTTTACGCGAGACAGTGTAGTTTAACGAGATTTTTAAATAATGTCAATAATGATCACTGTAATGCTACATGAAAATTTCACCATATGAAACATACCAACTTCAATTTGTTGTCGGGAGATTAGGTCTTCAAAATCTTGAACTGAGTTTATTTGAATGGAATTTGATGCCAGTGTGCTTTGAAGCAATGAGTTGCTAGTTAATTCCGAACTTGCAGTCAGTTGTTCGCTTGAATATTCACTGTCTATTTCTTTCGTGAACGAGGAAGTAGCATAAAGTTCTTCATCTGCTAAACGCCGTCTTTTCGCCAAAAATTCTTCTGTCAAATCGACTGGATCACTAGCAGGACGAAGAGGTGGAAATGAATTAAGAAGAATATTACGGGATTCAATTACAGATGCAGCCTCGGAATCTGTATTGATTTGTGTGATGATTTCCTCCAAACCAGGAAACATTTCAGGTGACAGCCAAACATCAGAAGAATTTGATTGTTTTGAAATTGGAAGTGGTACTGATGGATTAAGACCCCGTTTTCTAAGGCAGGCAAAGAAACGTTGAATCCAAGGGTTTGATATCCGTTGAACTTTTAGGCTAAATTTAGACAAAAATAATAAAGCGGTAATAGAAGAAAACGTATCTTACGCTTTACTGTCTACGGACAAATATTTATTTTTAGACTATGAAAAACATTGACGCTTTACAGCTACACAGTATTATATACTTGGTAAGTTTAACTTGAATTTGTGTGGTGTGTTAAAGAAAAGTTAAAACAACATCATGGTCGATATTCAATAGACATTTCACTATTAACATAAATATTATTGATGGTAGTGGCAGTATATATATATATATATATATATATATATATATATATATATATATATTTGATGGCAGATCAGGCAAACCAGCATGTACTACAACACTAATTCATGAGTACAAAAAATTTGTATCACAAAACATAGTTGATAGCTTGCATTTTGATGTGAAAAACTATTAATTTTGAGCTAAAGAAACAGAACATGGTTAAAAAAACGTGTGATCTCGATATTGCTTCCACACTTAAATAACACAGCAACCCATAATACATGGGACTGAAGATACAGAGAATCAATGTGCATAACTGGTGATAACAGAAATCAGATTATTTAAAATCTAATTTAGAAATTACAAAAGTGGAAAATTATATTTATATTAAAGAGAAAACTTAGCGCCAATATAGTTTAGTAAGTATTCAAGTAATTTCACATCCATCTTTCGAATATTTGTAAAAACCAACTACACAGTACATGAATTTGATTATTGAATAATTGTCCGATTAAATATGAAACAAATAAATGAATGGTCAACTGTTACAAGATGCTTAAAATATTGTAGATCATAAAACAAGGTATACAAACGAAAGACAATAATTCATTTGTATAAGTTTAGATGAAATGATTTAGAATTGATAAACATCTACCAATAAATCCACTACAGTAAATTAATCACAGACCGTTTTACACGTTGCTGACCTTTGTTTTCAATGAAACTGTCAGACCAAATTTCCCTAAATATAGTGCTTAAGATGTGAATTCAAGGAGAAATCGAACTAGTTTGTCATTGACTAGAGTGTGTTCATTACATTGATTAAATGTACTGAGTATAATGATAGTGAAGCGATGAAAGTATGAAAAAACTACTTATGGCCATAAAAACTGAAGGTATCTTAAGAAATACTTGATGACAAGAGTTAAAAACAATTAAATGACTGCCAACTGAAAGATAAATCTTATTCACTGTTCTTGTTATTGAATAATGCATATTTGTTGTACGGGTCATGTTACGTAATAACCTTTCTGAATCTCACTACGTCTGCAAAATGAAAAAAACTACGAGGAACTAAAGAAGTTGCTATGTCAAAATGAACTGTACAAAGCGAAAGGATCAACTATAGGATAAAAAAGGTTAGGAGAACTTCTTAGTGTTAAGATTATAGTCAATAATACTTATAGTTTTAACCACTATACATTACACTAAATACAAAACATGTTGAAATGTGTTTTGGAAATACTGTATGTTAAGATGTAACCCACTCAATTAAATCACAACTGCTTAAACTTCTTTATTTGATTATTCGTAAACAAATATGTGGAAGTTAAAGTATACAAGAAAACTAGAGAAATCTCATGATATGTAGTTAATTTGAAAGTTAATAAAATCATATGTAAAATCAGTGCTCACATCCTGTTTGATGAAGGATTTTCCACGTCGTTTTCGTCTTTCTTGTTGAGTTCACCACCACCACCATCATCATCATCACTTTCATCTGAATAATTTAACATCATGGAGTTAATAAAAGAATCCATAGCTGATAACTGTTCCTGAGATGGGCAATCTTTATGCAATTTCATAATGCTTGAAGACTTAACAGAACATTCCGTATTGGAAGTAGAAGGCTCACAGGAAACTGGTAAACTTGGAAGTTTCAGATTGCGAATATCTTCACTAAACGCTATATCAGTATACATGAGCGATATCTGATCACCATGAATTCTAAAAGGTCAATCGAACAAAATTTTAAATGGTAATAGTATTCCATTGGATTTTTTGACTTTGTAAGTACATGATAACGAAAAATCACGATGCATTTTTATTTTCGTATAACAACTGATGATTATGAATTAAACCCAAACTAACTTGGAATAACAACAAATAATCACTTCTTTAATAAATGACCGGATACATGCATCTACACTAACACTATCACAACTGAAGGAAACATAGCCCCGCACTGAATAGCTAATAAAATTGTAGTTAGTATGCTTATTAGCGAAAGCTATAGTTACATCTGTTTTTGAAATTGTTAGCTAGGATAAAACCACTTGTTTAACATTTTGTCGTGAAAGTAAACAAAAATTTACAGACAAACAAACAGATGAAAAACCAGTTATTGCTTACTCTGGAGTTAAAACTCCTAGTCTAACGGCACTTGTTTGATTGTACACTCTCCGGACAAGAGCAACACCACTAATCTCATAAAGTGCTTGAGCCAACGCTGCCAAAGCTGTTGAACAGGATGGGCGATTGGTTACATCATCTTCAGATTGTTTGACTGACTGGGCAACAAAAACCAACACACTTTCACCAGTGTAAAGGTTATGAGGGATCTGATCAAGGACGAATGAGAATGAAGATAAACACATACTTAAGTTACGTAGATAAATATAGGCAAACAGTTTCATTAGCTGACAGTCTATTTGCCTATAATTACATACCTTACCCCGCCAAATGCGTGGAATAGTGGGAAGATACCCATGATAAAATGGCTTTAATTAATACACGTATCCGTCCAAAGAGGTCATGAATCACAATCATAGAACAGCACATAGTAGACTGCATATAATGCACCTTACAGAGATCCTCTTTAATGACTATAAAACCTGTTTGTACCCACTTTTTGTCTCGATGCCACAGGTTACCAAGTCAGGGAATATGTCTCTTCATGTTTGAACGCAAGTTGGTAAGGAACAAGTGGTTTCTGGAATATAATTATAGACGATTATCAATGTGACCGACTTGTCACAATAAATATACTATTTAAACTGATGAAACGTCCAGACGTTGAAATCAGTTCGTAACAAAAATCTCAGGGTCAGATTATAAGTAAATGTTGCAGAGTAAGGGATTATAAACGTTGTGAGAGTGATGTTAGTAAAAAAAGACAAGGAGAGCCAATGAAAGGACGGAGATCGAAAAGGTCACTGTTTTGTATAGGGGATTTCTGTGATATTACATTTGCAGAGTAGTACTTCGAGTATATTTTCAGGATTTATTTATTTATTTAAACACATGAATATTGATACAAGAGTGCGCCAAATATATATGCGCCACACAAAACAATGAGAATTTAAGAAGGAAAAAGAAAAGGTAAGGAGCGTAAAAAAAAGAACGATAACGAAGAGATTGGTGTAAGGTAGCTTGATAATAATAATAATAGTAATAATAATAATAATAATAATAATAATAATAATAATAATAATAATAATAATAATAATAATAATAATAATAATAATAATAATAATAATGGAGGAACGGAAAGGTACAATCAGAAGAAATCTTTCAGTTAAGGAAGATACAACCACTTTTTACGAAGAAAGTAAAAGGTTACAGCAGGATCGCCACTGGTTTCTATTCTGAACCATATCTAATAACGTCTCTAGCCACTGTGTAGCACCATCTCTCGAACTCCAACCAGGGAGTCGTGAAGGACCAACACAAGCCAGTCCTTTGCAGCTTTCTTCCATGCCACGACACCATGTCGTATACTGACCACCTCTCCGCTTTTTCCAATCAGTCCCAGATTCGGTGAATAATGCACGACGTGGAATTCTCTGGGACGACATTCGGAGAACATGTCCAAGCCACCAAAGTCGGTGTTTCAAGATGGTGGCACCAATTGCATTATCGTCTCTGTGCCCGAACACACGATGCCGAGCCTCTGCATTACTGACGTGGTGTTGCCACGCAATGTCAGCGATCCTCCGGAGACAACGATGATCGAACACAGAGAGTCGTCTAACGTCCTCAACTCGAAGAGGCCAGGTTTCACAGGCATAGAGCAAAACTGCTCTCACCGACACGTTGTAGATCCGACCTTTTACAGCCAGACTAACATCACGAAGGCGCCAAAGATGGCCTAGATTGGCATAAGCCGCTCTGACTTTCACTATACGTCCATTGATCTCATCACTCACACCTCCACCAGCACTTATGCAGCTACCCAGATACACGAACTTCTCGACTACTTCTATCTGTTCATTATCCAGAGTGAGTACAGAATTAAAATCCTGCCAGTCTTGTAGAAGTACTTTGCACTTCGTAGGTGCAAAGCACATACCATAATTATAGACGCTGATTGCCAACTGATTAAGTGCGGATTGCATGGCTTGAGCATTATCGCACAGTAAGACAATATTTTCCGCATACTCAGGGTCGAGAAGTCTTTCTCAGGGCAATAGATATACACCACCATTACTTACATTCATCAGAGCAGTTTCCAGAATGTTGTCGATGGCAAGGTTGAAGAGGAATGGTGAGATTGAGCAACCCTGTCTAACCCCACTGCTAGAATGGAAAAATGGAGAAAGGTGATTGTATGCTCTCACTCTGCCTGAGGTGTTTTTATATAGGGCTTTTAGGATGTTAATAAGCTTCTCAGGCACATCCTTCTTCAATAGACAATCCCAGAGAACAGTTCTATCCAACAAATCGAAGGCAGCCCTGATGTCAAGAAACACTACGATTGTTGGCCTTTGATAAGTATGGCGGTGTTCTAACATTTGGCGGAGGGTGAATATATGATCAATACATCCTCGATCAGAACGAAACCCAGCCTGCTCCTCGCGAGTCAACCTACGAAGTATGACGGAAGCCAATAGCTTGGACGCAATCGGAAGTAGACATATCCCCCGATAGTTGTTACAGGAACGACGTGAACCCTTTTTAAAGATAGGGACAACTATCGACCCATTCCATGACGCTGGTACACTCTCTCGCTTCCAGACCTTTGTAAACAACGTCGACAGTTCCTTAGTCAGAAAGTCACCACCACCTTTAAAAAGAGTCGGAAGTAAGTCATCTGGGCCAGGTGATTTGTAGCGCTTCAAGAGTTGGAGTTCCTTGCGGACTTCCTCCTCGTTTGGTGGATCAGTCGTCACCGGCCATGGAGGGCAGGACAGTTTGACCGATGTTGCCGGAGCAGCAGGCCAGTTGAACTGCCCTTCGAAAAATTCTGCCCATCGTCCAAGATGTCGATGGATGTTAGTGATTGGCATCCCGTTATTCTCATAGATTGTTTCGCTCACACCAGACTTCTTGCTGCCAGTGGCTCGGATGAGTTGGAAGAGCTTCCGGTAATTACCAGATGCAGCTGCTGCTTCCAGCTCATTAGCACGCTTCGACCACCAGGCTTCTCGGTCCTTACGCAAGCTTTGCCCAATTTCCTTACGCAACATCCTTCGTTTGCGGTCAAATTCACGGTCACCCGGAGTAGGCCGACGGGCTTCAATGAGTTGTAAGGAACCAGAAGAAACCCAGTGCTTATAAACGGGACGTTTCGCGAACCCACAACTGACTGTACTCGCCATTTTCATGGCGTCATGCAATTGCAACCAATGCTCATCTATACTTTTCGGTGGAATGGTAGCTAGCCTAGAGGCTAGCTTGGTTCGATACTTACTTGCAACAGAAGTTGCAACCAGCTTGCTAACATCAATCCGTTGGTGGCGATCAATTCGTTGTCCATTGAAAAGTAAGGTAAGATTGGCGCAGACCAAAGCATGTTCAGAGTCCAGATAGGTACTCCAAAAGGAGCGGCAGTCTTATACACAACCACGCCAGCGGTAGCTGATCGTGATGTGATCAATCTGAGTCCAGGCTTGACATGCAGAGGGAGGACGCCATGTGGCACATCGGCGATGACTGTGCCGAAAGTTAGTGCTAGCCAGAAACAGGTTGCGGTCTGTGCACAGTTCCGTTCCTCCATTATTACTATTATTATTATTAAGCTACCTTACACCAATCTCTTCGTTATCGTTTTTTTTTTACGCTCCTTACCTTTTTTTCTTTTTCCTTCTTAAATTCTCATTGTTTTGTGTGGCGCATAAATATTTGGCGCACTCTTGTATCAATATTTATGTGTTCAAATAATAAATAAAAAAATATATTGATATTTTAAGAATGTCATTACCATATGTTAAAACTTACTGGAAAGAAATAGCCAATATTCATTTTAAAAAGTTTACATAAAATGGATGCAAGTCACTTTATGAAACAAAAAATACCTAGAAAGTACACGTAAAAGAGAGTAAGTATGGAAGACTCACATTGTCAGCACTCGTAAATCCAATAACGCTGAAGCACTTTTCTGAAGGGGGTTTTATGGAGGCAATATCTTCTTCACCAAAGGGGACTACAGTCCCACCATACCGGTAACCTTTGTTGTAAACAGTACGATAATTGAAGAACACACAGTTGTGGGACAAACATATCTTGGACGTAATTATTTGGAAACTAGAAAACGAATCAGTATCCTGAAGTTTAATGGTCTGACGAACCCATCAGTTTATTTATTTATTTTAACACATAGATATTAGTAAGAGGAGGCCCCAAATACATATCCGCCACATAAATCTCATTTGATATGTGTGAGGGCTGTGATACTGCCCGGGTGCCCAAACCGAAGCAGGTGGTTTTCTTAGGGGGCCACACCCGGAGTCTTCGACCTGAAGGTCTAACCCACAAGGCAGTGGAGCATCGTGAGGAGATGCAGTCCCATGGTAGTCGGGGACCAACGATTAGTTCATACGCCATTTATTCCCTCAGGATCCTGGAGCCCATATGCACCATTGGTTTGGAATAAGGGTTTTCCAACTCCCCTAGCTGGACTCCCCATGTCCACCAACCTGGTTAAAGCGCCGGACATTCGCGTTTCGTCCTCTCAGTTTCGTAAACACCCCTGCCACGAGAAGGCAGGGAGTAGGACTTCTCTGGCAGAGGCCATATACGCGTGGCCATGTGTGAGCATTTCAAGAAGGAGAGCGGAATCTCCCCACTCTCGGCTGTATCAGGGCATTTGGGGACACCCATCAGTAGATAAGTTCACAAGTTAATTGACAGGTTTGATGCCCAACAAGCGACATCCAGTTTTCATTCTCTTAAATCAAAAATGATACTCATTAATTAGGCAAAAATCACAGCTGGATATATATCTACTTGAAAATGTGTCGAATGTTTAGACATATCAATATAAATCAACTACATATAGAACTACCGTTAGTCTTTAGATTGTTCTGTATATTAACAACGATGTTTAATCCCTACTAATAATTCTTGCTTAATCAATAGAGAGGATTATACATCACACAGATAGAGTGACCAAATTAGTAGTTCAGATGCGCTATCACAATCACAATATTAAAGTTCGAATATCCTTTTGTTTTAAAAAACATGTAGAAGTAGTATTATTTCCACACTACTGCCTATTGTCCCAAAAACAAACATGTAACTCTGGACGTTCCAACAGCCCCTTGTACCTAAAGATTATTTTCACATTAAGCTGGTTATATACCAGGATAGTAAAAATTAAACTTATTACTGAACTTCTAGTATGTGTTATATAGTTTATTCAGATTGAAATATGATTAAAGAATTGTAACTAAGCTTAAGTTTTCGAGGACATTTTAAGTTAAGTATTATTCGACATTAAACATTGTAAACATTTTACAGAAATCATTAGTATTTTAACTTCACAACTTTTACCATAAAGTCCTTTTGTAGAATTCTTACCTCGAGTAACTTCAGAAGAGTTTAAATCGGAAGGATCTGCATCTTGTGTACAATATTTTGTAACAGCGCGCAGTGGAAGAGAAGGATCTGGGGCGTACAGTATCTTCATAGTTGGTGGATGAGCCTCCTTTATATGTGTATAGCCGACAACTGGGATAGTGATCGAATCGCCAATTTGCAAACCCACATTCCAACCACGTTGCGAAACGCCACGGGTTTCGAATATACTCAATGCAGTGACTGCATCGCTTAAGAGAACAAAAATAAAACATTTAGTAGAGGTTTGTCTCAACAGATACACACTATACCAAATACTGAAGGGACTACAAAACATTCTAGCCAATATATGAGCTTAAACTAGAACTGTCGAAGTTAAGGTATTCTTACCGTAAAGAGAAGGCAGGGTTTTGCATATTGAGTGAAGATTGAATAATTAGTTATTCAAGCTACTTCATAACGGAGTCAACAACTGAATTTTTTCCGTGGCGTTAGGGAATTGTCTGACAATCCATAGATGAATCAATCACGTACTCATGTCTCCGACCAAATGGCTTAAGCATGGTGGTCCAGTTTCAGTTACTAGATTGGATGAGAAATTAGCTATAGTCTGGGAACATGACGTAATCTCACCTCGCAAGCATTGATCACTGACCGTTTTAGTTTATAGAAAGACACAAAAGTCCTGGTGATAATCACAGAACGACCAGTTAGACTAATATAGTGCCTCAAGTACCACCCTCCATAATCATCTACAGCTTAAATAGGGCTCGCGAAAAGTAAACTCTAGAAAACTAGGCTGACCTCAGACTTAGATGTAGACCAAATATTCACCATATCTCCAAGCACAAATATGCCTACCGCCGTTCAACTATCGTTGTATTTTGACCTCAAGGCAGCGTTCTTTTGTGTTGATAAATAGGTTTTATTGAAGGGTATATCATTGAAATTCGTACCTAAGTACATTAACCTTGTACACTACTTAAATGATACTTGTCGAGTAATAGCGTATAGTTGTTATCGAAGTTGATAACTGTAGACAGTGTGTCCTCAAACTTATCTGCCTTTCCCATTTTTATCTAAATTTGTCAAACATCCTTTTAGGGGTAACGGTCTCGTCTTACATTTTAGGAATTGATCTCTTACCGGGAGGTTCACTGGTTTACTTAAAATATGCACATGATACCGTTGTTTAGTGAAAACGCTGACATAAAATAGTCTTATGACAGCCTTTTAAAACGATACAAGCATGTTTGGAGTACTTTCTTCTTCACCTAGATAAATGTTGCTTAACGATTAGTTCATGTAAACTGAATTAACAATCGAGAGTAAAGTACTTGGGTATCGATCACTTGATTTATATTTCTTAATCTTAACGTTGCAGTAGAATTTCGTATTACGAGCTTTATTATAATCCAATTACTCAACATAACCCTACGTAGATGAAAAGTCGGTGAAGACTACTTGAAGTAGTGTTTGGCATGCCTTTACCAACGCCATAAATCAAATGAAAAGACCTCCCATTACTTTTTCCGAAGATAAATTCAACTTTTTTTCTGTTCGACAAAATGAAATAGCTAGGAAATTTCGATATTTACAGATCTCGTTATGATTCGCACTATCAAGACCACTCAACACTGTTGATTGCTTTAATACTAAGTTTTGATAAATCATTATTTTAGTTACTTCTGCTTCTCGTGATGGTTCGAGGATTATACTGATCTGTTTGGGACTCATGAAAGCATCACTCTATTTATTTTTGAGAAATAGATTATGCAACACTTCACTAATACCCTTGAACTGTTATACCCTCATATCTCAGTTGAATGCTCATGAGCTTTGATAATTTCGTGCTTTCACAATAATTCGAATGGTAGACGCAACTTATGTAAAGGATCTAGAAAGTACAGGGGTATTCAATAGTCTTCAAAATTTAAAAGAGGAAAATTTGTGCCACTGTGATTCATTATGAGACTCACTACTAAGCGAGATTCCCGCCGACTGATTTTTGCTATTCCGAAGGCGTTATTCAAAAGGTCTAAAAAGTGGGTAACTCGAATGAACAACTAAGATTTATAGACTGATATGGTGTTTTTTATGCTACTGTTCAACCTAATCTTGCTTCAACAAACATCATACGTCGAAATAAACAACGACTTTCTACACGTTTTTTCATGACCAAACAATCTGGGCAGCTACAAGTTCAGAATCCGATTGTTTAATTAAACCTTTCTAGAATAATGTGCCTAACTTCATCACTTACGACGGAATGGTTCCGCTAAACACAAAGTTTGGTATGTAAATATCTAGGACTAAACAATTATTAGGTTCAAATCAGACAAATGGCACTACTAACCTACCTAAAGTCATATGATTCTCCGTTTAGTTGATCCCAGAGTTCAGCTAAAAAAGAAATGGAGGGTCTAGTTTTTGGTGAAGGATGATGGTGATGAGAAACGGCATAAGATGGCCCAGGTTCGTTTCGGTTTTCAGGTGATATATTAATACTCTTCAAGTCACAACCAATCAAGCTGAATTTAATACCTGAAGACTTGAGGCTTTCTGATACCCTGGAGACATCAGAATCGTCAACCGAACCATATAAATTGCTGACAAGCAACAAGTGCTTTTCTTTTATGTTTCTTTTATTCCTGAGAGTTGGGAATACAAATGAATTATGATTACTTGCAACGATTAAACAAGTGGTCAGCTCCTACCATTAGTGCATCAACAACTATATATAATTATTAAATTCATTAAACAGTACCATCTCCTGTCGAGAGTGATAATAACTCTGGGTCTAGAAATTCCAAGACCTTCCAACTTATAGGAGCGAGTTCAAAAGCCAAACATATATTTTGAAAACTTCCTTCTTCATCAGCTAAAGGATTGTCAGTAGCATCAGAGCCGCAGAGAATAAGTGCAACTTCATCTTTCGATTCGGCGAAAAACTAGATAAAATATGACAGGTTGATGGCAATCTTTCGGACTTACTTTCTTTTCCAATAACAGCTTTACGCACTCAACAGCTTCGCTGAAATTAGGATTCATATGAATTCCTACATCAAGTACAACTCCAAGAGCAGTCTAAACACTGTGACAAATAAAACCAGCTTACTGTCATCGTATCTGTAACAGCTCACTTTTAGCTTGCAGGTACTTCGGGATGTAGATAGGATAGGAATAGAACAAGAGAAAAGGTAAGTCATCGAATTAGTACCCACACAGAATGAACTTAACTTTAATGAATGGATAAAACCATACTATGCCGACCGCCCTAAGGCCAGTTAAAATCAACTTAACCGGTGTTAGATACTAGAACGAACTTAAACTTCCTGTTGTGGATAATTGATGGGTGCGACCCATGATTCTCATCATATTTTGTATTTTGAAATGAATGAACGGTCTTTTACGTGGAGTAAACTTTTAGTTAGTATGTTAGTCTGATGAGCATTATGGTTGAATGCTAGTGTTTAGCAGTATCAGAATAGAGTTAGGGAAATTTAAGGCTGAGAATTAGGGTCTGATAGGGTTGTATAACTACAGATTTTGGCCTAAATTAATCTTATTCGACCCTAACACGTTTGTTAACTGTGATAAAACTCCAAATCGCTTGCACTTTAATCATTTTTCTATAGTTTAGAGCTTTTCCACAAAAGCTGAATTCTAACGTACTATTTTTGATCAGTTGATCTCGAAGTTATCCTTAAAATCTCCTAAGGTTGTTCATACAGTATGGTCTTACCTGCAAGTGATTGACAGCAATCAGATGTATCGTGGGATGACGACAGTAAATCCTAAGTATAATGACACATGGTCACGAGCCCGTCACAGTGCCCTTGACTCATATTTGGCGCATTCCCAAATGGTTCAAATGGTTCAAATGGTTGTGGACGGAATAGAAAAAACTTTCGCTTAGCAGGCTTCCGTGTTTAGTATCAGATGATTACCAAATCTTCCAGGCAGGAGCCTAGTTATGCTAACAATAAAACAGGAAAAGATATTAGTAAATTATAGTGCGATGCTATCCTTAGTACTTAAGAATAGCTGCAATTAAACGCAACTCAATTTCGTAAATGTGCCCTTCAGCTTAGCAACCAATCAGAATGTGGCGGGAATTATTATGTTGCCTCAAACTGATTTCGTGGCTCGCCATTGGATACGCTCCAGGGTGTCCTTGTCCTTTTGGAGTGAGGGAGAAAGTACTGTTTCCGTACTCTAAATGGGGACGGATGAAACTATTGGAGATTATATGGAAAGTTCTTCCGTCGAACTGTCCAAAAATGAGCTTCAATGTTGCCAGTGCAACGTTTGCTCGAATGGCATTTTTGTCACAGTTAGTATAAGACTTTAAATCATGGGGCACCAGGACTCCTAAATCTTCTTCGACTTGGGATACTACTACAGAGGAGTCTCCTAAGCTGTAACTGTAGTCTGCGACATGTCGCAGATGGACTGACTCAACATGTGACGAGACTAGCCAAGAAGGATGGTGATTCTAGCCCCCGACTAACGAGAATAACTTTCCCATCTTCCCACATGGCGGCTGCAACTCTGGAAGCATTTCGTGCCAACAGACGTCGGTTGCCAACTGGAATCCATATGCACCAGGACAGGACATATGAAGCCAGGACCAAGCACAAAGGCAAGTCGGAGTTGACTGAGGATGATACAGGTATTCAGTGTTTGACAACGCTTCTACCAGCAACACCTTCTAATATACTTTGTTCCCATCGAGAGAAATCAAAAGACAGAGTCGAGGAGATCGGAAGAGTGTATTTGGCGATAACCAATATATCGGAATTCTCTGATCTAATCTGACTAGCGATTGGGGTAGATGTTGAGCACAGCGTTACCACACGTGATCTGGTGCGGATGCATGACCGAGCGCCTTCAGCTAGATGAGTCTACTAAAACATATGGTCAGCATCCAATGTCGAAAACTTACAGAGCTATTTAGTTTGGGGATTTATTTACCGCTACATGACAATTCCACTCGTGAACTGTCTTGATCATAAAGAACGTGTAAAGAACAGGGCCTGCCAACTCGGCAAACCTCATATAGGTAGGCTACCTGTCCATTGACGTAAGGCTCATACAAACAAACAGGAAGAAGCCCATGTCATGCTTGTCTAGTCCTTATTGGTGCATTGACATTGATCACCACCCCGTGATCAATCAATTGTGATTAGATCTCAGTCCTACTGGAGGTTAGTCACGGCTCGGTTGGCTCAGTGGTTTTCGTGCCTATAGGTAACCCTCGTACTATTGATAGAAGAAACCAGAGAAGTAGTGAGTACGTCTTTATTTCGATCTTAGCGCAGTCACAGTGGAGCGTGGGATTATCTGTTCAGACAAACAAAAGCTTTCAACATTCAATATAAGATAATAAGGAATATAACGCTTATACAAAATAAGGAAGTGAATGAATACTTGAACAATACTGTTTTGACATATGCTTGGTTGTTTGGGGTCAACTCTTAACCAACCAACCTATGCTGTTACATGGTAACGTCTCTGACTGGGAAGCTAAGTGACGCGAGATCGAATCTACCAAGGAGCACCAGTTCCCTCAAGATTACAGGTACACCTTGCTGACGAGTGCCAAATAAAACGAAACCCGGGTCCAGGGTTTCCTGTTGACTACCTCCAACCACCATCTAAATCACAAGAGTAACCCTTCCTTAAACCATGCTGTTGAGGTGAGAAGAAATTTAAGGACAGTAAATAGTCATGTATGCCATCGCATATCAGGGACTCCATGATTTTTGAAGTTACTGAGAGAAGAGCCACCGACCGATAACTTTAAGGTTCATTGCGCCGACCTCCTTTGAAAATTGGTGTGATATGAGCCAACTTCCAATTTTCCGGTAGTTTGCCTCTACTTAGCGAGTGTGAGAACATCACGCTAAGCGGCGTCGCCAGGATTGAGGCTGCTTCCCTCAGTACGGCAGAATGGACCATATCTAGGCCAGGAGAAACGTCTAGTCTTAGGTGCTGCAGTTTCCGGAACACACAGTTTCACTAAGAAAAGCCCAGTGCAGTTGCAAATGAAGGTGTCATTAGTATAGTTGATGTCGGTCTGTTGAGATGTCCGAGAGTATAGTTCAGCCAAAGGGTTAGTGGCGTCGCCAACGTTGTTGGTCGGGCTGTTAAGACCCAGCAGTTGGGAAACTTCAGTTTTGGCTTGACGAAGAGAGGCTGCATAACGGAATAAGCTTTTAGGATTAGAGGCAAATTTATCCATAAGCTTTGTCTGGTACTGAAGCCTGTCTTCTCTTATAGCCTTTCGTGCATATATTCCTGATATGTTTATATTGCCTGTACGCTCCATCGTTGTCAGTTCGTTTGTATTCCGCCCAACAGTGCCTTTTGCGGCTTAGCAGGCGAAGGGTACGGTTCTTAATTATTGTAGGTGGCTTGCAGCTTTTGGGGACCGTTTGAGGAATTGAATGGTTTGTAGCACTTAAGAGCGTGTGCAGTAAGAAGTCCCAATGAGTATCCACATCCAGTTGAGGGTGAACATCCCAATCCACCTGTTGTAGATAGTCCTGTAGAGCTGACACATCCAACCGTTTTGAATTCTAACGCAAGTTATTGATGGGGTATCTTAGCTTAGTTTTGCTGACAAAACTGAGGACTATGACGGCATCATAGCTTTTTCCCAGGGGAGCCAGGTTTGAGAGGTTGTCAACTAGAACTTCATCGTTTGTGAATACACAGTCTAAGCGCGACGGTTTCTGACTGTTTCTCCAACGAGTTGCCGACTTCACATTTTCGTACAATCCCAAGTCGTCGATGAGGTTGAAGAACCGAGCTTCAGTGGAGTTTTCACCTCCATTATACTTATGTTCGTCGAAATTGACTCTAGGGAGATTGAAGTCCCCTAGAATCAGGACATGAGTGAAACCTAGACGCGTAGAGCGGGATAGTCTTTCTAGCATACGACTATCATACTTGGTGTCGGCAGTGGGCTTCCTATATATGACTCTGACTAGACACTTCGAAGTAGCAGACAATCTTACAGAGCACCATGTAGATTCCTCAAGATTGTTAAACTCGAGGTTGTGAACTTGGTGTACCTCCAAGCAAGATCGTATGTATGTGGCTACTCCACCCCCGATTCCTGTTTTCCTTTCATTGTCAAACAAAGACATCCCAGGTATTGTTAGCTCCTGATCCGAGAACTGAGAAGATATCCAAGATTCAGATATTCCTATCAGATGAACCTTATTAGCATTGTTAAGTTCACGTAGCTCATTAATTTTGTTTGGTAGACTCGCGGCGTTCATGTATAAGCAGTTTATTCTTTCAATCTGAAGAACGTGGGCTTCTTCCTGTTTGTTTGTATGAGCCTTACGTCAATGGACAGGTAGCCTACCTATATGAGGTTTGCCGAGTTGGCAGGCCCTGTTCTTTACACGTTCTTTATGATCAAGACAGTTCACGAGTGGAATTGTCATGTAGCGGTAAATAAATCCCCAAACTAAATAGCTCTGTAAGTTTTCGACATTGGATGCTGACCATATGTTTTAGTAGACTCATCTAGCTGAAGGCGCTCGGTCATGCATCCGCACCAGATCACGTGTGGTAACGCTGTGCTCAACATCTACCCCAATCGCTAGTCAGATTAGATCAGAGAATTCCGATATATTGGTTATCGCCAAATACACTCTTCCGATCTCCTCGACTCTGTCTTTTGATTTCTCTCGATGGGAACAAAGTATATTAGAAGGTGTTGCTGGTAGAAGCGTTGTCAAACACTGAATACCTGTATCATCCTCAGTCAACTCCGACTTGCCTTTGTGCTTGGTCCTGGCTTCATATGTCCTGTCCTGGTGCATATGGATTCCAGTTGGCAACCGACGTCTGTTGGCACGAAATGCTTCCAGAGTTGCAGCCGCCATGTGGGAAGATGGGAAAGTTATTCTCGTTAGTCGGGGGCTAGAATCACCATCCTTCTTGGCTAGTCTCGTCACATGTTGAGTCAGTCCATCTGCGACATGTCGCAGACTACAGTTACAGCTTAGGAGACTCCTCTGTAGTAGTATCCCAAGTCGAAGAAGATTTAGGAGTCCTGGTGCCCCATGATTTAAAGTCTTATACTAACTGTGACAAAAATGCCATTCGAGCAAACGTTGCACTGGCAACATTGAAGCTCATTTTTGGACAGTTCGACGGAAGAACTTTCCATATAATCTCCAATAGTTTCATCCGTCCCCATTTAGAGTACGGAAACAGTACTTTCTCCCTCACTCCAAAAGGACAAGGACACCCTGGAGCGTATCCAATGGCGAGCCACGAAATCAGTTCGATGACTCAAATTTAAACCTTATGAACAGCGCTTCCGTTCACTTAACCTTTACCCATTAGATTATAGGCGTCTTAGAGGTGATCTATTAATGGCTTATAGTATTCTCAACACTTCTGGTCATCCTGTTAAATACCTACTTAAGCTTAGTTCGAACACTAACCTAAGGGGTAACACCTAAAAAGTGGAGACACGACATAGCAAGACGGAATGTAGACATAACTTCTATTCCTTAAGAGTTGTCGAATTCTGGAACTTACTGCCGGCCGAGCTAGTCCAAGCGACTTCCCAGGTGTCCTTGAAGATGCAACTTGACCTATTCTTAAGGACCATGGACAACATCATACTATGATTTACCGATTTCTTTTCCCTGTTTTATTGTTAACATAACTAGGTTCCTGCCTGGAAGATTTGGTGATCCCCTGATACTAGACACGGAAGCCTGTTGAGCAAAAGCTTCTATTCCGTCCACAACCATTTGAACCATTTGATATTTGGCGAGGAAGGTCATTTACATACAAAAGGAATAACACTGGCCCCAAGACT